AATTATTTCTTTTTAATTTTCATTAAAACAATTTATATATTCCTAAAATAGAGAAAAAATTATAATTTCTGAAACAAAAAAAAAAGGTTTTTTCTGATTTTTTCAAACATTTTTTGATTAATTTTATTGAATAACATAAAGATTAAAAAAAGTTTTATATAATAAAACAATGTTTATAAACACAATTATTACATTGATTCAACAAAAAGACAATACTTCAAAATATTGTAAAACAAAAATCACCAAAAAAGGATTTCTCAAATTAGTTTTGTTTAATGCTTGTCCTTTTCTTCTTCATCTTCAATTTCTCCGTATCTCCAGACATTAAGATGTTTGTCTTTAGCAGCAGATTGAGCATTAGTCATAGCACGTCCCCATTCACTGCTATCATTGAAAAATCTATCAAGAGTAGAAAGACCTTCTTGAATAAGCATAGTGTTAATGCAAACATCTCCAACAATAACTTTAGCAACTTCTTTATCATTAATAGTAGCAACAAACATAGTGGCTTCTTTATTGAAGAAAGCAGAGACAGCACTAATCATAGCATCAAAATCAACATCTTTTCCTCTAACAAGTGTCTTAATACCAGCAAGAGCAATTGACTTAACTGTAACTTCAATATTTTCAAATTCTTCTTTAAGTGGTTTTAATTTATTCTTACCACAAACAATAACTGCACCAGTATCAATGCATTTAACAACATTAGCAGTTGGAACAGCTTTAGTAATAATAGCTCTGTATTGAACACCTTTAATTTCAACAACACATTTTTGTCCATCTTTTTGTTCAACTGATCCTTTGTTGCATTTCTTTAATTTATTGCTTAATTCATCAATGAATTTAGCATCAGCAGCCTTCTCATAATAATAAATCATTGATCCATCAAATCCAGTAATGTAAACATTCTTTCCTTCACCAAACTTAATTTCTCTATGAACTTCTTTAACAACTTTAACTGGTCTAACTGGTTTAGATTCACCTTCTTTTTTAGCTCCAGCAAATTTATAAATACCTTCTTGATTTTCTTTCATTTCTGCAATATTTTCTGGAATATCTCTTCCAGCGAATTGAGCATATGCCTTGCTTAAAACAACATCACAAAGATCAAACTTCTTACTAAGAATATCAACACAGAAGTTTCCTTTGAAAAATTCTCTAAAATCAACAGTGACTTCATTTAATCCAAAGAGAGCTCTAACAGCTGCTTTTGATTCTTCATTGAATTTCTTAAGTTCTTCATTTTCATCATCTCTTGGGATTCTACAATGTGAAAGAACTACTGTCATTCTACAGTCTTTTTCTGGAATATAAATAACATATTTGCATACATTAATAACTCTTTCAACAATACAATTGAAACTGTTATTAAGGAAAACATCTTTAATTGATTCTCTTTTTTCTGCTGGATATTGAGTAACAGCCTTTTCTTTATATTCTCCTTTTGGTGTTTCTGAAAGGATTTTATAATCAAATGATTGATAGAATTCATCACGTGTTTTTTCTAAAACAACAAGTCCTTCTTTAATTAATGTAATAGCAACATTCTTTCCAGAAGCATAAACATCATAGAAAATTTCTTCAAATGTCTTATCTTCTTTAGTGAAACTTCTTTTGTAACATTCTTTAGCTTCAAACTTCTTTCCAACAATAAGTTTTCTAAGACATTCTTTAATTCTGAATTGGACAAGATCATTAAATTCTTTATCATTCTTTTTGAATACTGGTCTAACAGATGCAAGATGAATATTATATTCTTCATTTCCTTTCTTAGCTTTGATGTGATTTCCAATATAAATAATTTCAGCTCCTGAAATTATCTTAGCGTTCTTTCTTCTATCTTCAAGTTCTTTTAATTTTTGTTGTCTTTTAGCAATAATAGCATCTTCTGCAGCTTGATCAAATTCAGTCCATCTTGCTTTCTTTTCTTTTTTAGCTTCTTTTTCAGCAGCTTGATATTTTTGTTTAATTTCTTCAGTAGCATTTTCTAATTTACTGCATACAACAAATCCTGATCTTAATAATTCTTCTGCAACATCTTTCTTTTCAACAGAAAGTTCAGCATAAGCAACACGTTGAGAAGTTTCAATGACTTTAACTGTAACGTCTCTTTGATTGAAATATCTATTAATATATTTCATAGCATCCCTAGCATCATCATCAAAATCAAACATATCCTTTTCAGTGTTATATCTAAGCATTTGATTAACTCCATATAATACTACTTTAAATCTTCTTCTATTAGTATCTTCAATAATATAATGTGATGGTGCTTCAACTCTCTTAATATATCCTTGAACAGTCTTTCCTTTTAATTCACTAGTTTCTTTTTCATTAAAGAATATATTTTCTGGTCTCTTCTTGGCAATCTTAGTCATGTCATCATTGAAAATACCTTTATGTGAGTCTTTTGCTTTTTGTTCTGCATCAAAATATTGACTAAATTCTTTTCCTTTTCCCTTAATCTTTAATGAAGCATATCCATTCTCAATTAATGTGCATACAACATTTTCTTTTTTAACAAATGGAACTACAGCTTTTGGAATACCTTCATGTTCTGAAACAATTTCAAATTTAACTTCTTTACCAGTGACCAATTTTTTTCTTAATATTTCGTTGCATTCATAAGCAAATGCTTCTTCTTTCTTCTCTTTGGTATCATATCTTGGAAGATCAACATATGCTAATACAACGGTACTCTTTTTATCATCTTTCTTTGATGATAAGACAAGACTGTTGTTACTTTTTACTTTAGCAACAAAAGCAGTGAAAGTTTTCTTTTCTTTCTTTGGTTCACTCTCTGGTTTCTTTTCAACCTTCTTTGAGAGATCCTTCTTTTGAGTATTTTGTGCTGGCATTAAATGGTGATGTGAATAAAATTCCAGTTCAGTTTCTTGTATTACTAGGGTTCGTTATCAGATTCATAACTTTTTATTAGTTTACTTATTATATTTTATGGTTCATCTTCTTATTGTTTCTTATTTATTTCAATTGATGACGTGTTTATCTTTTAGATGTTATAAATATAAATAAATAAATCCTTTTTTTAACCATTAACCATTACATAAAAAAAAATAAAAATAATTAATTGACTAAAAATCAGTTCAATCTATAGTATTGTCTTTTGACACTTTATTTTTTTCCTTTTTTGTCCATTGCTAATCTTTTTGCTTTCATTGGTCCAATAACACCATTTAATTTATAACGGGTTTGATTTGTCAATTTTTTGACAAACTTTCTTTCAGGATGCCACATTGGATTTTTTGGATTAATTGATGGCATTTTCAAATTACTTAGGTCTGGTTCTTGTTGTGATTTGCCTCCCCAAATATTCGTGTATTTTGTTTTATGTCCTACAGGTTTTGTTTGTGAAATTTTTCCTGTTTCAATTAGTTTTGTTACTTCTTTCTGAACTGCAATATCCCTCTTCGTAGGTTTAGTTGTTGTATGTTTTTTAGGGGCAATAACCTTGGTGTCAATTCCTTTATCTTCAAACAACTCAAAGTCACCAGCAACTATCGTTTGGTTTTCACTTTCTTTCTTCTCTTCGATTGGTTTTTCGGTTTCAGTTGGTTTCGGTTCATTGATTGTTATTGGTTGGTGACTTGATACAATTCTTCTTGGCATTTATCTTGAGATTTAAGTTGTATTATCTCTACAACCCTTTATATAGTAATTCAATAGTATTTTGTAAATATCCTTATAGTTTTGATTAATTCTTTATATTTTTAAGATTAGGATTTTTCTGTTTGTCTTAATAAAAATAAAAAACCATCATAACACTAACAATTAACCAATCACAAAAAATTGAGAATTTGATAACCAACAATCTTAAAATTTCAAACAGCTACAAATAACTAATAATAAGAGACTTGAAAACGTAACACAGATGAGAATTTATATATTATCATATAACAAACCTTGCCAACACAACAACAAGAATTAGAAAATAATATATACTCTGAACTTATTCATGTTAGACAAAGTGGTTATTATTCAATAAATTAATTTTCATTCTTGGTATTCAATTTAAAGAAGAGTTCGAAGAAAATCAGTATCAAATTTCTTAACAAAAAGTAGAAGAAACAGTCCAAATATATTGGAGCAGAGTCTTAAGAAGTTCACTTATTCAGACTATTAACAAATATGATTATATTAATTTTCTTGAGTTCCAAGAGTATACTAACTATCTTTTTACTCCGAATTTAGCAGAAATAAATGAATTTTGAGGAAGTCATTAATAACCAATTTAATTGAAAATGATATACTTATTACTCCATATAAAAAGTCTCATGAATTAATGTTATTAAATAATTATAATGAATGGATAAATCAATATAAACACGAAATATTAGATTCTATGTATCGAAACCTTTTTTAAAAGGCTCTTACAAAATAGAAGCAATTCACCATAAAATTCATCAATACTACACTTATTCTATAACTAAGAAAAAAAAATTGAGAATAACAATACAAAAAGATTATCACAAAGAAATTTATCTCTACTTCATTCACTAAGAAATACTCAAATGTCCAAAAGTATTATTATTTAACAAATTAGTTTATTTAGATATAATCAAAACCTTCAAATTTCTGTTGATGAAATTACTAAGTACGATACAGAAAATAAATATGAAGAATTCATGAAGAAAAAATATTGTTTATTTTATTCTTAGTAATGTAATAAGAAAAAAGATTTGTACATGATATAGTCCTTAAGTACCTACTCTCTAAGAAATAGTTCTATTGGATAAAATTAGCAAACTATTTCATTGTTTATTTGAAAATAGTATCAAACCATCATCGATTATTATTGACTTTTTTAAATATTTAACCTCAAATTATAAAAAATTTTATCTTATTGGAACTCAAAAAGTTTAACAAGAAGTTGGTTCATGTGATGGGAATATTTTCCAGATGAAGAAAGTTCTCAACTATTTTCTTTCTTAAAAACTAACATTATTTTTGTTAATATAAATTGTGACTTTATTCAAACTTTGTCAATTTGTTAAAAAATAAACTTCTGCGAAAATATTTATACAATTAACACGTTATCAAAAAGAAACAATAAAGATCAATTTCTTGGTAACGATAAGCAATAAAGGTGGTTTATCAAATAGTGAACTTCTTTTAAACTTTCTTCTAACTCACTAAGAAAAGATATTACAATTTATTAGATATAATAAATTAATAATGAACAAATTCATTGAATTAATCTCTTCTATATTTTGGAATTTTCCTCGAGCTTGTTTAACTGGATTTATGTTTAATTTTGCATCTTATTTTTATTGGCTAGTTGTTCCATTGAAATGTGTTGATATGGGTGGGTCTACATTAGACCTTTCTTTATTACAGACAACTGCTTTTGTTATTTATTCTATTATCTCTCCTATTTGTGGTAAGTTAGGTGATAAATTTAATCCATATATTCTTATTAGGATAGCAATGTGTTTCTTTGTAGTTGCTGTGGCAATTATTCTTATTTGGCCTAATACATTTTTTGTTCTTTATATCTCAGTTGCTATTTGGCCTTTTTGTACTGCCTTCTTTTGGCCAGTAACTACAGGAACAGTAGGATTTGAAGCGCCTCTCGGATGTGAGAATAGAAATACTTCCTTATATCAAGTTTCATGGTCAATTGGTAAAGCTCTTGGATTTTTATTCGGAGGAATGTTAAAAGGAGCTTTAGGAACTAATGCGTTGTATATCTGTATTGGTATTGTAGCTATAAATATGTTATTATATCCATTTACTCATCCAAAACGAATTAGAGAGAAAATAAAACAGATGAAAAAAGAGAAAACAAAGCCTAAAGAAGTAAGTGATATTACAGTAGAATTTACAGTTCATCAACAAGGTTCACATGAAGTAAATATTCCTGTAGAAATGGTAAATTCAACACCTTCAGAGTTACAAGATACTAAATCATCATCTGAAATACAAATTCATGAAGAAACAAACAATATAAATGATATCAAAGTTAAATGGAATGTAAATGATTATAAAAATAAAACTTATATTTATCTTGGCTATGTTATGCAACTTGGTGTGTATGGTACTTCTGCAATTCTTTCTAATTCATATGTAACTTTAGCTAAAGATAAAGGTATTACTATTCCGTTTGGACAAAACACTGTTGAAATGTATATCGGTATTATTTTTTTCTGTTATTTTATTGCTCAAACTCTTGTAATGGCAATAATGTCTTTCTCTACATTCTGGATTTACATGAGAAGTTTACTTTTATTATTCCAATTCTTCTATTTAATGTTTTTGATTACACTTGGTCTTTCTGCTCAACCATATGTTAATTGGTTCTTAGCTTTTATGGGTGGTTTAGCTGGTGGATTTGCATATCAAACATCAACATATTATTCAATGAGGGCAAGTGAATCAAGTAAATCAATGTTTATGGGTATTAGTGAATGTGTTGGAGGTTTAGGAAATGCCTTACTACCTTTAATAAGTGGATTATTATGTACTTATATGAACAATAATTATATTCAAATTTACATTGCTATTATTGTGATGTTATTATGTCTAATTATTGAAGAAATAGTATATTATATTGGTTATGCAATTAATAAAAGAAGACAAGCAAAACGAGTTGATCCTACTAAAGACTATCACCAAGAAGACAACAAAAAAAATACAGGTTGTTCAATTGAAATTACTCCAAATTAATACTTATTATTTTTTGTCTTTTATTTTGACTGTATTTTTTTGTAATAAAAATTTCCTATTGCAAGAATTATGAATTAAAATGTACAAGAAATAAAAGTACTATTTCATATAATAATTCTATTTCCTTTTTTCTCTTCCTTTCTAAGAATAATATAAACTAAAACAATATACTGTTCTCAATCTTAACTATTCTATTAAATAGTTTTTTTTTCAGAATTTATCTTTTAAAGATTGATATGTATAGTTTTATTTTACTATTTTAAATACAATATTTTTTTTCCTTTCATTTTTAAAGTTCATTTTATTTTC